ATATATATATATATATATATATATATATATATATATATATATATATACACACACACACAAACAATTGCCGTTCCTTCCAAAAACAACAAACCCCTTAGAAACTATTTCAATAAAAACAAAAATTTTGAAATTGACTTTGCTTAAGGTTAACACAGAAGAGTACTTTCTTAAGTATAAATGTTAAAATTCAAATTGCTTTTCTGTATTCTTAAAAGTAGACCATATTCATTTGAGTTTATAAGCACAGAACAACTATTTGATATTCATAGCAGTAAATTTTATTCCTGGATAATTTTATCATGTTTTCAATAGTAAACCTTGTAAAATACTTATTTTAATAATTAATAAATTAATGATCAAGAATGTAATATCCACGTTATTAAAATATACAATGCAGGTTGGTACTAAGAAGATATAGGAAAATGAATGTTAATATCCTCTGAAAAAAGAGCCAAAATTAATGTAAAATGAGAAGACTAAAATTTTGTCAAGGTAAAATACATGGATTGTCTCCAATAGAAATTGTCATACTGATTCTTCAGTTAGAGAGGAATTGAAGAACTGCTTGCCTTTCCTATTACCTTATGGAAAGAGAGTCCAGTGTAGCTCAGAGTGAAGGTAGAGTGTTCAGAATAAAATGAACAAGGGCTGTTGGTGTGTAGAAAAGGATGTATTAGCTATCCAATTAAAAAGATTGTTTGTGTATTTTTCTCCATAAAAATGTCACAGTTTTCCTTTCTTCAAAACTTTATTTATTATAGCCCTCACTCCATCTATAATTTATATATTCTAATCCTTTTTTTTCTTCCCTGATGTCCATGTCTTTTCTTGGGATGTAAAATATTAAATCTTACCCGCTATACTAGAAAGCAGAAATAGTGTTGATATTTTTTTCTTCTAGCTTCTATACCAACCCTAAAATATATGTTCAAGATTTCTAAACTCCCAGGATTCTCTATTTCAAACTTCACTAAGTAAGAACTTAAGAAAATAAAAATATACCACAAAGGCCCCAATCATATTAATCAAGGCACTTCCAACCAATAAAGGACACAATCTATAAGAACTCTTTTTAAGTAGAGAACTGATACTAGAGTTTTCTGACTAGCAAGTTACATGAGGTCTTGCAATGCTGCTCTCACTGACTGGCTTGAGCAAGCCACTTTTAGAAGGTGGTGATATTACTGGTCCCACTGACACACTGGAGTAAAGTGAGTTGTCAGGAATGACAGAAATGGAAGGAGATAGACGATCACTATTGCTCCAGAGAGAGGGTGAACAGCCCTGAAATTCATGTGACAGACAGAAATTCATGTGTCTTGAACAGACACTTTGCTTGGCAGCTGTACAGGAACAACAGAAAGAGAAACATGCCAACAGGGAGAAAGAAGTGGAGGAAGTGAAGAACATGCATGAAGATTATTTGGAAAAGGTCTTTTATGAAAATTAATAGCATAATGACTAAATCAAAGTACACTGAAGTTGAATTTTTGTATGAGTTCTGACTGATACCCTTTATTGAAATATGATTATATTTTCACAGTTTTAAGCAGAATATTGGAGTCTCCAGGACGTCAGAGGAAGAGAGTAGAGGATAAACTGAGACAGGCTGTGATGTATTTTAAGGTCTCTGTAATTGCGGTGTGGTACATTAAGATGAACAATTGTGGACATAGGAGAGGTTCTGGTGAGTAGTCAATGACTGTAGAATTTTCTAGTGTTAATATATGTGACTTCACTTCCCCTGTCCATCCTGAAAGTAAGGAGTTCCCCATGGAAGAACACTCTGGAGACAGAAAGGAAGTTATAGCTATTAGAGGTCATAAGAAAGTAGCACAGTAAACAGTGTCTGAATATCAGACTTTGGGTGACTTTTGGCCGTCATTCTTTTAGCATGGACATTTCTTGCCAAGAGCTGTGCTCTGTCTGGGTGTCAGATTCTATAGTTACAAGATAAAAATCAAAGCTACAATTAGGTTTTTATTCATTTACTACGATAACTATAAGCAAGAGGCCAGAAAGAAGGAGCCTACTCCATCAATAATCCATTGTATTTTCTCTCCTAGGTGGTGATGAAAGGATGGAGGTATGGGATGAGGCACTATGTCATTGCTGAGGGAGACTGAGCAAAATGTTCCTCAGGGTTAGAATTTAGATTTTCTTTCCTTTTCTTTCTTTCTTTCTTTCTTTCTCTTTCTTTCTTTCTTTCTTTCTTTCTTTCTTTCTTTCTTTCTTTCTTTCTTTCTTTCTTTCTTTCTCTTTCTCTCACCTTCCTTCCTTCCTTCCTTCCTTCCTTCCTTCCTTCCTTCCCTCCCTCCTTCCTTCCTTCCTTCTTTTTCTTTCTTTCTTTCTTAGAAGGAGAAGTACTGAATACAGAATCAGATAAGTAAAAGTGTTGTGAAGACCCCAGAATAAACAAAGCTGGAAGCAACATTAAAATGAGGTCTTGACCAGAGTGTCAAATGGAGACCTTTGTACCAAGGCTCAAAATGCAGAGTTGCATGAGCATAGGCCAGCTGGAAACTGACCACCCAACTCAAATGAAAACTGCCCCAGCTCTGCGGTGGTGGGGTTGGGTGGGCAGCTGTGTTCTGGTGAGTTACCAGATTGTAATGTTGGCTCATACTTCTAAAATTAATTTTTATGGCATTTTCCCTAATTTGCATTTTAAATTAAAATATATTTACATCACTTTGCCTCTTCCCCTCCTCTGTCCAATCCCTTCCCTATCCCTTCTATATAATTCCCTCACTCCCTCTCAAACTCATGAACTTTTAAAAATTATTATTGTTACATATGTATATAAATGCATTCATATATAGATGCAACATACTGAGTCCATTTAGTGTTGCTTGTATGTCTATGTTCTGAGGGATAAGTATTGGATAACTTACTAAAGGGTGGGAAAGACTAATTGCTCCTCCTTCATCAGTTGTTATTTGCTTACTGTACATGTTTAACATCCCTGGAAAAATAAGCCTTAAAAGTAACGAATCCTGGAATTTAAAGCTTATACCACCAGGAAAGTACTATATCAGGCTTCCAGGTTTAAAGTGTGAACATAATTTCTTAATTGTGAGACCTATTACTTTATATTTCTTTCAAAATTCATGAAAGTTAAATGGTTATAACTTGCCTAGGCACAAATCATAAAAAGAAATCTGAAACAAAGGTTTAATACTGTGAGCAGGTACTGCCTGATAGAACTGGAAAGAAAATATATTTCCTTCTCATTCAATAGTGATTGTCTCTGAATCAATCTGTGTGCGGACAGCAACTCTGAATGTGAAGTTGAGAACAAGTAATTTCTGTGGGCACCAAATATCTTTTTTTTTTTTCGTATTTTATTTTTTTCTTATCAGTTACATTTTATTAACTATGTACCCCAGCCGTGTCCCGATCCCTCATTCCCTCCCAGTCCCTCCCTCCCTCCCTCCTCTCCACTGTGCCCCTTGCCAAGTCCACTGATAGGGGGGACCTCCTCCCCATTCATCCGATCCTGTTTTATCAGGTATCCTCAGGACTGGCTGCAAAGCTCTCCTCTGTGGCCTAACAGGACTGCTCCTCCCTTGGGGGGGGGGTGGGGAGGCCAAAGAGCCAGTCATTGAGTTCCTGTTAGAAATAGTCCTTGTTCCCCTCACTATGGGAAACCAATTGGTTACTGAGCTACCACAGGCTACATCTGAGCAGAGGTTCTAGGTTACATTCATACATGATCCTTGGTTGCATGTCAGTCTCAGAAAAGACCCTGTGCCCAGATATCTTTGGTCCTTGTGGAGCTCCTATCCTTTCCTCATCAGTCTAACTCCCCTTCTTTCTTATGATTCCCTGCACCCTGCCAAAGGTTTGGTCACGAGTCTTTGCTTTGAAAACACCGCTAGTTAGAGTCTTTCCAATGCGCTCAGTAGACTCCTGTCAATATTCAATGCGTATCCCATCTGTCTTTCAAAACGAGGATTGATAATCTTACCCCATGTCCACTCTCTTGATTATCTTTTTTAGGTGTATAGATTTCATTATGTTTATTATATCTTACAGGTCTATATAAGTGAGTATATACCGTGTTTGTCTTTCTCCTTCTGGGATATTTCACTCAAGATGATCTTTTCTAGATTCCACCATTTGCCTGCAAATTTCATGATTTCCTCCTTTTTGATTGCTGAGTAGTATTCCATTGAGTAAAAATACCACAATTTCTGTACCCATTCCTCCGTTGATGGACATCTGGGTTGTTTCCAGGTTCTGGCTATTACAAATAAAGCTGCTATAAACATGGTTGAGCAAATATCTCTTTTGTGTACTTGAGCAAACTTTGGGTATATACCTAGCGGTGGTATAGCTGGGTCATGAGGAAGCATTATTCCTAATTGTCTTAGAAAGCGCCAGATAGATTTCCAGAGTGGTTGTACCAGTTTACATTCCCACCAGCAGTGGAGGAGGGTTCCCCTTTCTCCACAACCTCTCCAGCATGTGTTGTCCCTTGAGTTTTTCATTTTGGCCATTCTGATGGGTGTAAGGTGAAATCTCAGGGTTATTTTGATTTGCATTTCCCTGATGGCTAATGAGGATGAGCATTTCTTTAAGTGTTTCTCTGCCATTCGATATTCCTCTGTCGAGAATTCTTTGTTTAGTTCTGTTCCCCATTTTTTAATTGGATTACTTGGTTTGCTGCTTTTCAGCTTCCTTAGTTCTTTGTATATACTAGATATTAGTCCTCTGTCAGATAAAGGGTTAGTGAAGATTCTTTCCCAATCTGTAGGCAGGCATTTTGTTTTGATGACAGTGTCCTTTGCTTTACAGAAGCTGCTCAGTTTCATGAGGTCCCATTTATTGATTGTTGCTCTTAGAGCCTGTGCTGTTGACACCAAATATCTTTACTGATGTTCATGTATAAACTTCATGACTTCGTTTAGAGACTCATATTTGGATTGTGTAATTGAGAGGTCTCATAATGGGCTCTTGCGTAGCTTGAATTCAAGAATATTGAATTCATTGAATTCAACATTGAAGAGAGATAAATACTCAGGCTTGTTTACCAGAAAAAAAAATACACATTTTGGGTTGCAATTGTTTTATCTAGTCTAATCAGTGACTGCAGAGTTGATGATGTAAAAGTAGAATTTTATCTAACACTGGTCAATGGGAAGAAAAACATTTGTTTTACCCAGAAATAGTTGGTGCTCCTTAAAACTACAATTTTATTCATTTTGCTTTTTGGTGATAGCTTGATTTGTCTGAAAGCTCCTGGAGCTGGTGAAGTAAAATGCAAGACCCCAGACATAAGCACCACGAGGAAAAAACTGACTTAACTAGGTGTGCCCACATTTTATAGAGGAAAATTTTTCTGAAGGTGATCATGAGGCCAGAAGGGCACAATAAACCCTCTTTTCAAACATAAATATAAGCAACACTGCCATGTGAATATAATAAATGGAAATCAGATTGTTCCTGGATGATTAGTCCTAAATGGCAAAAAAAGAAAAAAAAAAAAAAAGAAAAGAAAGAAAGAAAAAAAATCCAGCCTCTCATCTATTGCCAAACCACGAGAATGCAGATAAAAGCTAACCATGGAGTCAAGGAATGGAAACATTTTAGTGTATCTAAATGATACTTTAGCATAAGGAACAATTTGTAAAACTAACATAAGGTTTCCACAATCTTGATGTAATGAGGAGATACATATAAAGGGTAATATTAAGGCTTATTTCATTTGCTAGAAATGGAACCTGTGACTTAGCCAACTGAGTAGAATTTAGGACTGTTAACATCCTGTCTTGGGATGGCCATATGTGAGGTCATCTGTTTGGGAGGGTTGTACTCCACTTAGCACAAAAACATTAAAACCTCATTAAGCATTTAATGACAATTGTTGTGCATAAAACTTACCTATATTAATATATGTGGATAATGGGATCCTTAATCAATTCCAGTATTTCTTCACTTACTGTATAGACCTCTCTTTCTTTATCTAAACTACTAGAAAGTTTAATAATGTTGTAAGCAATCTATATTTATTCCTGAGTTCATCACAAAAAGTAAAAATGTACAGAGTTTGCAGAATTTCAATTCCAGAGCACTCTGTCGAATGTTGAGAGGTGATCTTTCCTGGGGTATCCTTGAAGGTATGATTAAAGTATCAGAAGAAAGAACAGATGGGCATTATATCTAACTTAACAGAAACTGGCTAACCTGAAAACACATGACCGGTCATTGAGTAAGATGCTTACAGTTTAATTTGTATTTTAATTATTGTATATCTGTCATTTTTCCAGCTCAGTAGTTTGAACCATTCCAAATCTTTAAAAATGGGTATTCCTAAGTATGACTACATATTAAATAGTTGAAAGTAATGTGAACTTATTTTAAAATTTTACTGTAATAAATGTGGAAAATTATTTTACAGTAGAAAAGGAAATATAGCTACACTTAGGAAATATGCTTTTTTTAGACAGCTTATGTTCACTGCTTTGTAAATAAATTAGAAAATGAAAAGCAAAGATATTGGTTAATAATTTCTTCAAAAAAGAAAATCCCTGAAACCATATATATACATACAGCAAAATGAACTCAGTAGGTTGTACTTATATATTTGTGAAAATGTATACATAAATATATATGTAACAATAACTATCAAAGAAAAAGAGGCTATCAATTTTGAAAGTATCAGGGAAGGGAAGGACAGAGGGTATTGGAGTAAGGGTACTTGAGAGGTGATGGAGTGAAGAAAGGGAAGAAGAAAATTGATGTAATTTTATTTTAATTAAAAATGTGCTGAAAGATAAAGAATAAAAGTAGGCTAATAAAATCCTATAACAGTATTTTCAAAACTAATGGATCACATTTGTCACAATTCAGGTTTTAGTATTACCAATTAATGTTATATAAATTTTAGATTCTAGAATATTTTTAATTGACTCTCTTTTAACAATCAAACATTTCCTATGTTCATTTTCATACAAACATCATTTCCTTACAGTGAGAATAAGCACTGCAATGCTCTACTAAGGAGGTTCTCAACCTGTGGGTCTTAACCCTGTTGCTGGTTAAACTACTTTTTTACATGGGTCCCATATCAGATATGTAGATTATACTTCATTACAGTTCTAACAAAGCAATGAAATAATTTTATGTTTGCAGGTTTGCAGTCACCACAGCATTAAGCACTGACTTAGGGTGTCTCAGCATTAAGAAGGTTGAGAACTGCTCTAGAATGTCACGGAACTGCACTGCATTAAGTCCCTTATGCCTATTCCTCTTGCTTCAATGAAACTTTGTTTTATTTTACAGAAATCTTACTGTATTCAAATGTTCAAGGCTCATTTACAACCTAGCACTGACTCCATCTTTTCACAGGTATCCGGTTACAGTTCAGGACAGTGTCTGCTGAGATGTGCTGGGGAGAGAGCAGTTTTGTAAATGTGTCCCAAAATCCACTTCATCCTCCCACACCTTCCCTTTCAATGAGATGGCCTTAATTTCTGTCCTCGAAGAAAGAAAACACTGTGAATATTCTTTGGGTTTGCGTCCCAACGATGAAACACTTATTCCTTTGACAATGCAAAGGCTAAAACAAAGCATACCTAACAAATTCTAGAAACAACTACTTAAAACTTGCTGGAAAAGGAGCCTCCCTCTCCCTCTGTGTCTTACAGCAAGACTTATAATAAGCCTTTCAATATAGCTCAAAAGGATGTGTGTTGCATTTTGCATTTTTGGAGCCAAAACAGAAGACAAAATTTGAGCCACTGTTTTGTATCTTGAGAAGAAGCATGTAAGCCAAAACAAAACAACACAAAACCCTGGAAGGGAGTATAAAGTGAAGGGGAAAAACAAGAATTATACTAAGGTTAGGGCCACAGGAGGCTCCGCAGCCCACTGAGCTGATTGTACTCAGGAGGCTCCCAACCCTTCCTTGTCCAGTGACAGCAGCTGACTGTTAGCAGTGCTGTCGAGCAGAGCAGCGCTCATACAAACTCTCAGCACAGAGGGTGGAAATACATGCCTTTCAGAGTTCAGAGTAAAGAGGGAAAATGATCAACTTCCAGGGCATGCCAGCTTAAAGCCCTAAGCCTAGTTTTCATAGAAGCATCCTTCTTCATGGAAATGAACTGGTGAGCCATTATACTATTAATTCTATACAATTCTATATATATGTTATATATGAAAGTTGCTAAAATTGTTCCAACAGTTTACTTGCCTCACAATTGTGCTCAAGTCCACACAATCATGTTGTAAGTTAAATATTTAGTGTAAATAAAATGCATTGATTAATGAAGATTATAGATTATTTGTGGTACAGATTATTAAACAGAAAAAAATATCCAGTCTTAAATACATTTTTGCTGGAGAAAAATAGCTTTAAATTGCACCTCTTTCAAAAATAATTCCTTTTACCAACTCACTTAATAGTGATATCATCCTTAGAATTTAGGAAAGAATTTTAAAATGGAACAGGTCAGACTCCAATCATTATATGACAAATGCTTGCATGATGTCTGAACAGAACCTGCTTCATTTCAGTGTCTGAAGCAACTGTATCCAGTACACACTCTTGTTCTCAGTCTCTTTTCTAAAGTAAAGTTCAACACTGCAGGACTAGACTGTGTGGCCATTGTGTCCAACCCCAGTAAATAACAACCAACAGGAATGAAAGCCCGAATTTGACACACAGGTTGATAGTATATTAGATCGTAAGACCAAAGTGAGGTTTAAATTATTTAAAAAAACATGAACAAGCAAAAAGAACATGAAAGCAATTGTGTTTTGAAGTACCTATGGAATTTAAACATGAAAAACCGCCCGTTGACCAGTCTTCCTCTCTACCCACACTTTGTCATTATTGATGACAGTTCTGATTTAAATCAGTGCAGGCCCCCGAATAAGAGGCATCTGGCGTCCCAACACTGCACACTTTCTCAATGTACTTACTGAAGAGGGTGACACTTGAGTTACTCTCAACCGGTTTTCCAGATCTTGAACTTTATTTTTAAGTTCCATATTTTCTGTTTCTAAATCTTGGATCTAAAATCAAAAGATTATTGAATAACTCAGGATTATTTTTCTTTGAAAATAATGGCTGTTATCTTGGCTACATTAGCAAATCACATTTTATTCTATTAAAATTCAAATCTTCTCTTATGTACAAGGAAGAAAATTAGTTGATAAAGCTAGGGAAATTAACAGAAGATCTTAGGTCAGTTGAACGACATGAAAGTTTTAAAAAAATCTTCTCTGTGTACCTAATGTCTCATTTCTTTATTTTCTTGTTGAGCTGTACAATTTATACCCATAATCTTGTAGTACAACCACAAGACAAAGTTGCTCATGCTGACTCTGAGGTGTGGAGAAGGGGCATAATTGAATTAAAGGAATCTGATCTGCTTGGGAAACCACTTACCCAGCATCTGCTGCCTCTGCTGCTCTGATCCCCATGAGAAGCATCAGGAAGTGAAGCAAAGTCACATGAGAACACTAAGTTCTTGTGGGAATTCAATATAAAAGAGTTAAAGACTGTGCAAGGGATTCAGGATGAAGAATTATAGGAACATGGTGAAAGCAGCTCCTGCCTTCAGAGGGACAATTAATGGCAGGCCTTCTCTGTCTGATGGTAGGAAAGCTTCCTGGTACACACACCAGACCAATTTGAAACAAGAAGGTTAGTTTACTCACTCTTTTCTGCATCCCAGCAATCTGTTTTCTTGTTTCCACATCTTTTCCTCCAGATTCTAGAAACTTCCTATATGCCAGATCGAATGCTTGGCCAATTGTTAATGTTATTTCTTCAGCCTTTGTGAAAAATCACACAATGAAGACCTTCATGTTAATATATAAAGCTATTACTGAATCTCCCATAAAAAAACTAATAGAAAACAGCAGAAGGAAAGAGTAATGGCCAAGCAAATTATGCTGTACTATCATTTAGCCTCAAGAGTAAACTCAAGTGTAGTAAAGGAGGCGACCAACGAACAGCTATTAAAGTTAGAAAGTTGTGCAAATTCCCCTTGCTACCTACACCATTTAATTGAAGAACTTTAGTTTTTCTCCGTTCCTTAAAAACCTAGTACAATTAGATGTAAGCATTGAATTGAGCAGTTTCTCTTGCTGTTTTGCTATGTTTTATTTTCCTAGTGAGAGAAGGGTTTTTAAACTCTGGGCAGCTAATGTGGAGGAATCCACCTGGGCGGAAAACTCCAGGACCCTCTCTAAATGGAGGAACCCTAAATGTTCCTCACTGAAGTGAGCAGTTTAAGTAGGATCAGATGAAGACAGAAATTTGAAATTTTATGAGAGCTCTGACTTTTCAGTGACGGTAAACAGTTCATATTTTTGTAAGATAATGATAATTGAACAAAGTACCGCTGTCATCTGACCTGGAACTGCTATACATTCTAAGAAGAAGAAACTGCTACAGACTTCTAAAGTCCACTAGCTCATTATTTTTTCCTCTGAATCTCTACAATTTCATGGCATTTACATAAAGCATTCGTGAAAAACTGATTTACTTAATTAGCCCAAAAAGTTTTAATGAAGCATTAACTGACTCAATGCACTGACAAAAGCCATATTCAATAAGATGAATTCCTATTTTTAATGACAGGAAAATATTGATAACATTAAATATTGCAGACATCACACTTTAACAAACTGACATTGTAATACTTTTTATTTATTATGAGCTACATAAAAGAAAACATTAAAGGTGGGCTTTTGTTACACAAAATAAAGATAAAAATATGTGCATAAGTCATGCAGATCTCTATTTCACAAAAGTGAAAAATGACAAATGAAAAATAAATTAAATAAAATTAAAATAATAAAAATAGATGAAAAATAAATTACAATAAGCTAAGTAAAAGTACTAAGTAAATAAAAATGTCACTGATCAAATTCCATTTGCCCAAAGAGTCAAGCTAAAATCAATGTTAAAAAATATCCCAGCAAAATGGATTAATGGGTCAAGGCCCTGATGCCAAGCCAGAATTCAACCAGGAAACTCCCACGGTTGAAAGAGAGATCCAAATACTGTAAGTTGTTCTTTGACCACAGCATGTGCGACATTACAAATGCGTACCCACACACGTAATACACACACACACACACACACAGGAGAAAGAGAAGGAGAGAGAGAGGAATAAACAAATAATTCAATTTAAAAACATATGACCTCCTTCTTGATTAGTTTCTTTAGATGTACAGATTTTAGTAGGTTTATCCTATATTATATGTCTATATGAGTGAGTATATACTGTGTGTGTCTTTCTGCTTCTGGGACACCTCACTTAGGATGATCTTTTCTACCTCCCACCATTTGGCTGCAAATTTCATGATTTCCTTGTTTTTTATTGCTGAGTAATACTCCATTGTGTAGATGTACCACAATTTCTGTATCCATTCCTCTGTTGAGGGACATCTAGGTTGTTTCCAGCTTCTGTCTATTACAAATAAAGCTGCTACAAACATGGTTGAGCATCTTTTGGTTATATACCTAGGAGTGGTATAGCTGGATCTTGAGGAAGCGCTTTCCTAATTGGCAGAGAAGTTGCACAACCCCATTCAGAAAGGCAAAGAGGATGGATATCAGAAAAGAGAGAAAATAAGGAACAGGACAGGAGCCTACCACAGAGGGCCTCTGAAAGGCTCTACCCTGCAGGGTTATCAGATGCTAAGACTTATAGCTAAACTTTGGGCAGAGTATAGGGAATCATATGAAAGAAGGGGGAGAGATAGAAAGACTTGGAGAGGACAGGAGCTTCACAAGGAGAGCAACAAACCAAAAAATCTGGGCACAGGGGTCTTTTCTGAGACAGATACTCCAACCGATGACTAACCAAGAGATAACTTAGAACTCTGCACAGATGTAGCCAATGGCAGTTCCGTGTCCAACTGGGTTCCATAGTAATGGGAACAGGGACTGTCTCTGACATGAACTGATTAGCTTGCTCTTTGATCACCTCCCCCTGAGAAAGGAGCAGCCTTACTAAGAAACAGAGGAAGACAATGCAGCCACTCCTGATGAGACTTGATAGACTAGATCAGAAGGAAGAAGAGGAAGACCTCTCCTAACAGTGGACTTGGGGAGGGACATGGGTGAAATGGAGGAAAAAGGGTGAGATTGGGAGGGGAGGAGGGGAGAGGCTAGAAGGGGATAAAAAGTAAATAAACTGTAATTAATAAAAATAAAAATTAAAAATAAACAGCCAAAGCACATAACATTTTTTTAAAAAAATATAAAATATTTTTATTAAAAATTACAATATTCAAAAAAATAAAAATAAAAACATATGTAAAGAGATATAGTAGTATCCAATTCTGGAAATGCATGTAATATTATAATATCATAAAGGTGGTTATGATAGGTTGTATTCTGAATGAACCTTTGTTCCTAATTTCAAAATCTGGGGTAACATGCTTGTATTTTTTTTTATAATAAAAGACCTATTTTATTTTTTATTAAATTTTTTCCATATAATAAATTTTGATAATGTAATTTCTTCTCCTCCATGTTGTAATCACCTCTGTGCCACTTACCCAGGGAAGATTTTTACTATGGATAACGTCCTACCTTTTTAGTTTTAATTAAAAAAAATGTTTTATGTGTACAGATATTTTGCCTTCAGGTATATCTGCACATTACATGCATGCTAGCACCCACAAAGGCCAGGAAAATTCCCTGGAACTGGAGTTATAGACAGTAATGAGCTGCCATGTGGGTGGAGGGTATTGAACCCTGGTCTTTTGGGAGAGCATTCAGTCATCTCCCCAGTGCTAGTTTCTTACCAATTAAATTATGGTAGTTCTGTTTCTAGTTAATAAGATCATATGTTCTTCTCACATATTTTATGTGTGAGCTATAAAGAGTAATTCAAATGGCAGCATTATTGATTTGCCATTATCATCATTCAGCTTCATATGAACGATCCACAACAACTTTTTGAAGACCATACATTAAAAAAAATAATATCTAATGTTTTTTGAGCATTACAAAGATCCTATACATGGTACAAACTTAATTTCCATAATGACTCTGAGTTCTGGACAGCCTCTATTCCCAAGAGCCATATAATTAAAATGCAATTTTATAAAATGTTATGATTTTCTTAGGGTCTCATTAGATAGTGGAAACCATGGAGCTCAAGTACAGAAAGAATTACAGAGGTTCCACCACTTCAATATGAAGGAAGGAAGCATGAGGAAATAAAAACCACATACAATTAAACATATAGACCATAACTGTGAAATCAGATGTGTTGTGAGAAATGTATACAACTGTCATAGTATTAAAGATAGAAAGTAGAGCTGGAGGGGACAGGAGCTTCACAGGAGAGCAACAGAAACAAAACATCTGGGCACAGGGGTCTTTTCTCCAACCAAGGACCATGCCTGGAGATAACCTAGAACCCCTGTACAGATTTAGCCCATGCAGCTTAGTGTCCAATTGAGTTCCCTAGTAAGGGGAACAGGGGCTGTTTCTGACATGAACTCAGTGGCTGGCTCTTTGATCATCTCCCTCTGAGGGGGGAACAGCCTTAACAGGTCACAGAGGAAGACAATGCAGCCAGTCCTGATGAGACTTCATAGGCTAGGGTCAGAGGGAAGGGGAGGAGGACCGCCCCTATCAGTGGACTAGGGGAGGGGCATGGGAAGAGACAATGGAGGACCGATGAGATTGGGAGGGGCCGAGGAAGGGTTCTACAGCTGGGATACAAAGTGGATAAACTGTAATTAATAAAAAAAATAAAAATAAATTATGAAAAATAAAGATAGAAAGTAATTCTAACCCTCAGAAAGTCTACTGTGCCAATATAGAGTAAGGTTATACTTGTTAAGGACAAACAGTGGTCTATGTTTTGTGCCTATGAATCAGCTCTACCTAGCCTTAACATAAAAAACAAAAAAAAAAGACCGCAGAGTAATGTTCTTTTGTATCCACTTTCTTATACTGATACGACTCTTTTCAGTTTCATATATATTACATATAACCTCTTTATTAATTTATGAATTAGTTTTTCCTGCAAGGAACTTATCATTGACTAAACCCATTTTTGTATTGATGGGCACCAACTTTGTTCTTCTACTATTAATTTTTCTTTTCTAGAACAATTGTAATGTATCAATGACATTCCATTTGTAGGGAGTCTCACTAAATTGGGCATGGCAATTCATATGAATGGCATCTTTTGCATTATTTTAAGCCTTATTTTTAGCAAAGCTTTGCAAATTTTTTGTGCCTTGTTTTCAGAGTACTGAGATTAAAGACATTGATCACTTTATCAGATCCATGAAGTACTTGCAGGTGAAATGAGGCCTCATGCCTGCTAGGAACGCATGCTACTATCTGCGCTACATTTCCCATCCCTTCAAGTTATTTTAAAAGCAAAACAAAGCTTAATTTAATTTTCCCCTTCAGTGAGCATTATGAAGATATCAGTAGTCTCAGTAGTTGAACAACTTTAATATCTTGCATCAAAATAGGAAATATCAGTCTTATTATAATCTTACAGAAAATAATGTCCAATAATTTTATTGACTAAAATGATTTTTTTATGGCTTACAGACAGTCTTTGTCAGAATAAGGTAATTTAGTGATGTTTGATAGTCACGAATCTGATCCTCAAGTTAAGATACTGTAAAAAAAAATAAAGGAAAATAATTCGGTGATATTCAGCTTTCAGATTTGATTATTAGCAAGCCAAGTCATGGTGTATTAATGAACTCGAAAAATTCATTTTTTATCCTGATGTAATGGCATACAAAGAAAAAAAGAATATCTAATTTTAAAACACTGC